TAAATAGCGCTATCTACTGCGAGGATCGTGCATCATACGTATCTAATACCGCAGTTCAAAATATATGAACTTCATATATTTCATTGTATCTAATATGAATAATATGTAGAATTGTGTCACTTCCTATAGAATAGCTTGATGTGCGTGCAGTTTGATGATTTTGTTGAATCATGCTGCCGGGACTCCCATTGTTTGGTTCAGCGAATTCAGTTTGGTAGAAAAGCTGCTTAATTTGAAGTCTCACCGAGTGGTATCCGGACAACTCGCCCCCTGGACAATTAGCCCCAGACGATTAGCCCCCAGTCTTTGGACTATTAGGCCCCAGTCTTTGGACGATTAGCCCCCTTTCTCTGGACTATTAGCCCCCAACCCACCATCCTTGAATTAAACTATGCTCTTGCTGTTTACTTTACGAACGTTTCCCTATCATGTATTTTGAAATAAACAATGTTCTTGTAATTTGCTTCTTGCAAACGTTTCTCTGCCGTGCATGTCGAATTATAAAGTATATTTTACAAAAGTGAACTGTGTTCCTTCTATTTACATATTTTACCAATGTTTCTTCGTCATGCTGTTTATTTCGAGAACTTAAATAGGAAAGGAAAGAAACCAGGAACGAAACCTTGAAACTTTAACCTATTGGCGACTACTTGTTAATGTCAATGGGGGTTTATTTCAAACTCGCCACGCGCATTGTGCGAACTTTTACTAATTATTATTTATTTGTTTATTGAAAACCCATGCGCAATGTGCGAACGTTTACTCATTCTTGTTTGCTTATTTCAAACCCATGCGCAAGGTGCGAAATCTTATTCCTAGTTGTTTCTTTCAAAGCCAGGCAAAATTCCCGAACTTTTACTAAATTCGTATTTCATTGTTTATTTCAAACCCACGCGCAATGTGCGAACTTATGTAAATTTGACGTGAAACATTTCATTCATCCTAATTCAGTGCTGATCCTTCAGTTGTGAATACTCGTATTAGCTCATTCAGCAACAACTGATCACTGCTGCCCCTGTACATCCTGATCCAGGTACTTCACTGGGAAGCTACATTGGTCAACATGCAGATCTGTCTGGTTTCAGACAAAAAGCCGAAGAGACATCAGCGGTCAACGACCGCTGGGTCAACAATGCAGAGAAGACTCTTCGACCTCTGGATTCAATATGAAGACGGCCAAAGGAACTCAATAGAACTTCTGGAGGCCTGTGCTCACCTCGTGCAACCCATGTAAATTGATTTAAGTAAAAAATTAAGTAAATTTTGATAAAGATAACCATTCACAAAAAAAACCTCCTTTAGGAGCCACAAACTCATAAAAGTCAATGACCAAAAGATAAATGTAACTTATCCTTTACATGAACTAAGACTGGGGGCTAATCGTCCAAAGACTGGGGGCTAATCGTCCAAAGACTGGGGGCTAATCGTCCAAAGACTAGGGGCTAATCGTCTGGGGCTAATTGTCCAGGGGGCGAGTTGTCTGACATTCTACCAAGTACTTGCTTGAATGTGGGAGTCTTTTCATCCGGGGAATTAATCTCCTGCAGAAGAGACTGTCTTCATCATCATCATCGCCATGTTCCATTTTTCGTTTTCCATTTCTCAATTGTTCTGACAACGAGCTTGCAGTTTGTAAAATGACTCGGTCAGTTTCTTCACTTGTTACCTTTTTTTTTTTTTGCTAGCCCAAGGCTTTCCATCCTTGGACTTGGAAGCACTAGATGTGTTTCCTTTAGAAACCGGAGTTGATGCCACCACATTGTTCTCACATGAAGAATTCTGAAATTCCAAATTCTCTTCTCCTCCATGTTCGTACTCATCTGTGTCATATTCAGGTGACCCTTGCAGTTGGATTGTGTTCGGTCGTTCACTTGAATCGTCTTCATTCACTGGCGAGGAAGATGTCGAACAGCTGCTCTCACTTTCAGGCGATGGTAGTGGTACATTAGATACTGTTGGTCTGTGCTCGATAGGCACAGAAAGCCATTCGAGATCTACAAATTCGCGTAGAATGGGGACGGCGTTTCGACCAGATCTAGATGGAACACTCTTTCGGCGCTTTAGGTAGCGTCCATACGCGGTTCTTACGTTTCGAAACTTTTTCTCTGCAGCTGCAGGGGAAATGCTAAAAACTTCGCCAACTTTGGACCAGGCATTAATCTTTTTGAACCTGTACTTGAATTCTTTGCTAAATCGATTGAACAAACAATCGTATTTCCTTATTTCCTCCATAAACTCTTCCGTATCAATTTCGCCTTCCATCTTGCTAAAACTCACACACGTGTAAAAGGTCATAGACAACCGGTTGTCATGGTATCACGCCACTTGCAGTGCTGCACGCTGGGAAAACATAGCATTATGGGACACATTCCGATCAAATGATCGCAGAACTTTGTTCACATATGATCGCACTCGATCGCATACGATCGCAACTGATCGCAAGAATAGAGCATGGTTCTATTCCTGCGATCGCCTGCGATCGATCGCACACGATCGCAGAGCTGTTCACATATAATCGCAGACGATCGCTGGCGATCGAGTGCGATAGCCTGCGATCGTCTGCGATCATATGTGAACCAGGCTTTACTTTAAGTTGACAAGGGTGTCGATGACAATGTACACGTCCCAAATCCTGGCCTAAACAATACCGACCCTCAAAGTAACGCATGTGGTTTTAATATGGAAAAGCCGAAATTACCAAAGTTTGTTGGAGACGTGCGAGAATACGCAATCTTTAAAGCCTATTTCAAACACGCGATCGAAGCCCGGTATACCAAACGAGACGCGATCACCTTTTTACGTACATGTCTTCAAGGGAAGCCTCTAGATTTAATAGCCCTTATCGCATTTGTGTCTGCAATGCAAAGGGTCCGCGGAGTTACAGTTTCAAGACGAGGCTATCAGGTCAACGTTTCTCGAGAAACACCAGAAACACTCCATGTCTGACCATATAACTCTGGAATCTGCGTTTTTTTCTGCCGAGGAAAAGGTTAAAATTCTTAGTGGTAATTGTCCTGGCATCACGAAAGGAAGGTTGAAAGAATGGCTGTCATATCGGAAAGGATCGGCAAAATTTTGTCGCGTTTGTTCATGACTACGGTTGTTGTTCCTTTGTCGGCCTTTTTGAGGTGTAACTCAGAGTCACGTTTCAAGGCCCTTAGCGCCTTGCGTTCGGCCGAAAGTAAATTATCTGTTGGATTTGTAATTTCTATTTCTGAAAGGTCACTTTTAACCACTTCTAAATAGCTTTCAAGGGTTACTGACTTTTGTATTGGTGGTATCCATGTAGATTTGACGTGGCAGGGATGGGTTTTTTGTCCTCCCCTCGGAAAATCCGACGCATTCTCCTTGCGAACTGATCAAAGTCACACAATAGTTGTTGTCTGATCTGTTTTTGTATTGAAGCGGGTGTTGGAATGAATTTAAGCCCTTTTGCCAGTAAATTGATCTGGTCGTTTGTAAGTTCTTTATTTGAGAGGTTTTTTATGTGCGTTTTGTTCGCCTCTAGTTTGATAGTTGAAAGTGTTTGGCAAGACCGCGGTTTCGATCCTAATCTTGTGGATCTCGTCCGTTGCCGACTCACTGTGTGACCTGATAGCCTCGTTTCGAAACTTCAAATTCCGCTGAGCTCTCGTACAGTGGGCGTAAATGCGATGAGGGCTAAGGAATTGGCACTGATTATGACACCGCGTGGGAATATTTAGATTCCATGTATGGCGATCCACGATTTGTCTCAGACACCATCACGCAAGGTGTCGTCAAGTTCCGTGAGCTGCAAAACGGAGAAGACGCTAGGTTTTGCTATCTAGTCCACTTAGTTAAGCGGTGTTTTAACACTCTTAAGAAAGTAGGTGTTCCCAGCGACATGCATAACAGTCACGTGCTGTTAATCATTGAGCAAGAGATGTGCGCAGATGATCGGAAAGTGTGGTCGAGAGACTTGGAACGAGATGGAAAGAAAGCGACATTACAAGGGCTCATGGATTGGATGACGGTAGAAATGAAGTCACGAATGCGTGCAACAGCGCCACTGAGAACCGGTTCAAGTTCCGATCGTTTCGTCAATCATTTCATAGGAGATACAAGCGACAGGAGTAACGCAACTTGGCACAAATGTTGGATGTGTCGAAACTCCACCCATTGGCCAGATCAATGTCCGAAGTTCGCTTCTCTAAGCATCGATGAACGACTCAAGATAGCCAAGGAGAACCATGTATGCTTTGGGTGTCTTAAAAGGGCCGGAAGAGACCACAGGATGGAAAACTGTAGCCGAAGACAACGCTGCACGAAACAAGAAAACGGACCGCGGTGCGAACACTTTCATCATCCGCTCCTGCACAAAAAGAAAACGATCAGAATAGGAATGGCCGCGGTCACAGCCGGTCAAGGTGCTCTCCTTCCTGTTATGTCGGCTATCATTTATGGCCTGAATGGAATCCAGAAGAATGGAAACATCCTTCGCGACACAGGTGCCCAAGTCAGCCTTATCCGTTCTGACACCGCCGAGCTACTAGGGCTCAAAGGAAGGGACACCTCTGTGACAATAGCAAGAGTTGGTGGCGAAGAAGAAACCATAAGAACAAAAGAGTACCGGGTACCAGTCAGCTCTGTAGATGACCGCAAGAAGCATTCAATAAAGGCCATCGGAATTCCGAGTATCAGTGATGAAATGATCCCAGTTCCAGCCTCACAGATCACCGAACTCCTGGGACTGTCGAACGAGAAATTCAGACGTGGAAGAGGACCGATTGATATTCTCGTGGGAATTGACCACGCCCACATGCACGCAGGCCAAACCAGACCAGCAGGAGAGCTTGGGGCAAGACAAACACCACTGGGATGGGTGGTGTTTGGAGGATCACCAGGAAATGTTCAGTCAGCGAATCGCATCTTGTTTGTCAAGCAAGCCATACCGGTTGACTTGTCTGATTTCTGGAAAACAGAGTGCATGGGCGTCGAGGTGAAGGCATGCGTCTGCGAAGCCGACAAATTAAGCCAAGTAGAAAGAGAAGAGGCAGAAGTCATCAGCCAGTCCTGTCGGAAAATTGGCCAACAGTGGATGATTCCGTACCCTTGGAAAAGGGATCCTAATCTTCTTCCAGATAACTATTCGCTAGCACTGAAACGGTTAGAAGCAACCGAACGTCGCCTTCAGTTGAACCCCGATCAAGCAAAAGCGTATGACGAGCAAATGAAGGAAATGGTGGACCTGAATTTCTGCCGAAAAGTATCGAAAGATGAGGTGAAGAATTACCAGGGTCCCGTACACTACATACCGCATCACGCAGTAGTCAGACCAGAAAAGAAAAGCACGCCAGTGCGCATTGTGTTTAAGTCGTCCTGTGTGTTTCAAAGGCACAAGCTTAATGATTATTGGATGAAGGGTCCGGATTTACTGAACAGTCTGTTTGGTGTGGTCTTACGTTTCAGAGAAAAGGAAGTTGCGCTGGTTGGACACATATCAAAGATGTACCATCGCATCCTGATACTCGAAGAAGATCAACAGGTTCATCGATTCTTGTGGAGAAATCTAGAAACCTCTCGCGAACCCCATGTGTACGTCAAAATCGTACTTACCTTCGGTGACAAGCCAGCCCCAGCAATGGCACAGATAGCATTGAGGAAAGCTGCTCAAGAAAGCAGGAGCACCCACCCAAAAGCAGCCGAGGTCATTTTGAAAAACGCTTACATGGATGATATCTGTGACTCCGTTGACATAGTGAAAGAAGCAATACAACAAACTGAGGATGTAGACAATGTGTTAGAGACAGGTGGTTTCAAAGTCAAAGGGTGGATCTCCAACAAACCCCTGAGATTTACCAACCCTACCCATAAAAAGCCCATAGAACTTACAATAACACGGTTTCCTGGTTTATTCCGCTTCAATCTGATCCACGAAACTCTCACTAAATTCGATGGAAAAACTTTCCGTAAACTCGCGCTCTCACAACCTCCTTGTTCTTTTTACGCGACTCCATTCTCGCTTTTTCCCACACGCACGTGCTCACCACCTTATTTCGTACCCCTGCTCAACGTCACAAAACTGTGAGGGGTAGAGTTGGTAAATCTCCCGTACACCTCTAAATCAGTCACTGGTTTCCGTCTTCAATATAGAAATAAATAGTTAACAAAAGTAAATGACAAAGCCAAAATTCATTTCAACACAAGGGCAAACTCAAATACAACCTTCCCTCGTGAATCTCCACCTCACCACGTGCTCGATAACTTTGAGACTTTGGATTTCGTCCAAATTGTTGCTAGGTAACCTGAGCTCGAAATAACCTCTTGAAACTACAAACTGGACACTGTTCCAACGCTACGTTACCAAAAGAGTAAGGAAAAGGTGAAAATCAGAGTTAAAAAAAGTGAAAAAACTGAAAAATACAAAAAAAATTTACAGTCTGCAGTCTGCAGTCTGCGTTTCAACATGACAGGTCTGAACCGGGCCTTACACCTAGTTAAGTAGAAATGCCGCTCGTGTCGCTTTCATTTTGAAGACATGTGAAATTATATTAAATGGCTTGTGTGACTTCGAGCGCGCTTTTGTCAAAATAATATTTAACAAAAAAATTGTCGCATGAGGGCAAACGCAATGGTGCAGGTAGAATTATGAAGAGACGCACGGCTTTGTGTACGGTCCTGTGAGATGTACAATACCAAAGGTATGAAATATAGAAACAGTGCAGGGCAGTTCAGGTCACAGGGTCTGTATAGCTTATGCTTGCGATATAATATTCTAATCGAGTGTTGAAGGCGAGATCTTTGAAGCTATTCTTTGGGATCATTATTCAATTTCATTTTTCATCACTATACGTATAATGTGGAGGGGGACAGGGGGGCGTGAGCCCGGGAGAACGAGGGGCGGGAGAGGGAGGGAAGCGGGAGAACAAGGGGCGGGAGAGGGAGGGAAGCGGGAGAACAAGGGGCTGGAAGCGGTATCTACATGAGGGCGGCAACCGAGAGCAGAAATGGTTTGTTGTTTATTACTGGGTATTACTCAGTAGTAAACACTTGTCTAGCAAGGTTTTCAAATTTCCAGTTAACATCTAACAATGCTTAAAAACATTTTCGGAGGCAAGAAAACGTAAATTTGGACCCGGGCTGGAAAAACAGCATTACCTCCGGTAAATTTGTGAATCCTTTCAAATTGATTACGTCATTGGTCATGAGATAGCATGACATGTACAGTGTCTGGTAAGTTGTAGCTGTCGAAAATCTCCAACAAAGAAAGTGATTCAGGGTCATTCAGGTCAATTGTGACAAATGTCGTCAAAGACCATATTAATCGGTCTCAGTATTTTCCGTTGTGGCCACAAAAAATCCGTTCATGGAAGACCTTCTTGGGAGCTCGCTCCTTATGACTACACCTCCCAAATTACTGAAGATTTTGCCTCGTGGTGCAAACTTGTTTCAAAGGAATGCCGCTTCAGTAAGCGCGCCAGAGAGTGCGGAGTGGTCCACTTTTCGACGCAATTTTTTATTCGGATAAGGCCAAGGCACTTCCCATTAGGATAGGGAGTGAAACAGCATGGCAAGCCATCAGATTGGATTTTATAGACAACAAAGACAAAATGATAGCAAAAGATTACGAATGATGTAAGAACATTTCTTACACTCGTTAACGAGTATTTCAATAGTGAAATGCGACAGGTGACAGACACACCTACTATGCTGGATTGTGCGATGAATTTCGTTCAGGCAGCAGATGAGACCTCAAAGAGAATTGCTTGGCCTTGTTATATTTGCTTCACTTGGGAGAAACAACACTATGAGCTGCCATCACAGTTTTCAATCAAGTACGAAGACTTACTTCCGGTGCCACGAGAGCCAACTACGTTCCTGAATAAAGAGGACATCATGCAAACGCCTTAACTTGAGTGGGGAAGTGAATTTAGACGAGGGGTCAGGCAACAGTCCGTGCGAAATTCTTTCACGAAAGACAAAGCGGCACTCTCCCCTTCTATATGTACACTTCAGTGGAAGCACACGACAGTACCGAGGAATAAGCTCTTACATCAATACAGGAGCTTTTTAAGGCTGTGAGTTCTGAAAAGGAGGCAGATACACCAGTGCATCCATCAGGTACTAACTATAGAAGCACTGTAGAGCCCGTACCCTTACCTGGGTATGATCACAAGACGTATCAGTCATCACATACTGGAATTTACGCAATGAAATGCAAATCCAACTTTTTCTCTATCTTCATTTCACGTGCGATATACGCAAATGCGGATTTCTTTGGTGCTACATATGTTATGATAGATGAAAGCTGTTTTCTCTTCGAAACATCTAGCGAAGAAGCAAAATGTAAGAAAAGTGACGTTATTTGTGAAATTGGTGAAGATTCGATACGATTATTCAACGGTCGTTAAGAGCTAACTGAAGAAAGATTTTGCCAGATCCTTTCAAACTGCAGAGGGGAATGTGATTTAGAAACAAATGACACTGAAGAAAATCAAGAATGTTATCTTGACTCGGAGGAAGAAGAGGCTTTAACCAAAATTTGGAGTAGGAAGAGGTCAGTTCGGCCTCCCCGGCGCATGGAAGACTTTTTCTTACCGCAAAAATTAAAAGACGATTTTCAACCCATCGCACAAATCTGATAATCGGTCGAACAAGACTGTTCAATCATGCTTCACTAGCAATTAAACTGAACGTTCAAAATGCAAACGGTTCAACAATTGATGTACTAACTACGAATACTAATTAGTCCTACTTACGTCAAAGAGGGAAAGCAAGCACGAATAAGGAAGACGCAAACTCTAAACGTTACGTCTACCTCTTGATTTTTTCATTTGATTTTAAATTGGCAATAGCTATTACATCACATAGTGAGCTGAGACTTTCGTCTCTAGGACGAGATGTCAGAAGCGACGATCAAACTGTAATAACCCGGTTAGTGAAACTTAGTTTAGTAAGAAAACTGACCAGTAGTAGCTTTCATCGGGTTTCTGATTCTCTTGATTAACCTGAAGACGGAAGCAACACAATGGAGGGCGGGAGTCGGGAGGCAAGGTGACACACAAGTACGGGAGGCGGTAGAGCGTGGCACGGGAAGCGGGAGACTCCGGCCCCCCTGTCCCCCCCCGCCACCCCACTATAATTTATTGACATTTCGTATCCTAAAATGTTTGTGATTTATTTAATCAAATATGTTGTTTACGCACGTTCTTATATTGAACGAGTTATAGCCCCTAGATGATACGTGTTTGAATAAAGAATTGTAATTTATTGTATATATGAAATTAATTTTTTTTTGTTGCAGAATTCCTTTCCTCATACTGAGTGTGTTCCTTCAGAAGCTGGCTACTTCACCTCAAAATTTCATATGTCCAAGGAAAGCATAAAACATATTTCTCCAGCGGTGATTGAGTCTTTGAAGGCCATTGCTGTGAATTCCAGGAAACCATTCACCATTGCCGACTATGGCTGTGCCGACGGAGGGACCTCCATGCCACTGATGTATGCATGCGTGAAGGAATTGAGAAACTTGTATGGAAATGAGCTTGAAATTCAAATCAATTATGAGGACAGACCAGAAAATGATTACAACTCAATCTTTTATCTTCTGCAAGGTAAAGAAAAGGCATACTATAGATTGAAACAGTCAAAATTTGCAAGCAAGTTCTGTTAGTTTTTTCAATTTACATGTCTGATAAGTAAGACAGCTGCTGATAGAAATTACTATTTGATTGTTCGACTGAGTTCCTAAACTTAAGATGAGAAGGGTTATTTACAAAACTATTTTCTTCCCCTCCATGCAAGGTGCCATATATTCTAATGCTAATGTTTTCCTATAGAACTCAAGGTGTTGTGGGTTGAGGAAAATGGTTAACAGATGCCAAGTGATCATTTGTAGTTATAATAAAAGAGAATATGAAAGTGAAATAGGCTTTATCTTCACTTTTTAACAATTGAAAGAAACTTACGATAGCCTTCACATAAATGCACTCTTGATGAAACCTCATGTCATGGACATTTGTCATGGACACTTGTCATGGACACTTGTCATGGACACTAATTGTCATGAGATAATTTATGTGTTTGAATGGCTGGGAGAGAGTTCATCAAAGCAGCCACTGATAATTTTTATCATTTTTGCTCTCAGTTGAAACTGCGACTGTACACATTTGTTTCAGGTTCGCTGCCACTTTCATCCAGCTATCTTTGTGATTTTCCAAACGTCTTCGTATCTGCAACAGGGACCAGTTTTTATGAGCAATGTTTTCCCAGTGAGTCTGTAAACTTAGGCTTTTCTTGCCTGGCCATTCAATGGCTGAGGAAAAAACCCTGTAATTTGACAAAGGCTGTCTTGTGTTACTTCTCCAAAGTCCAGGGTGAGAGGAACTTGTTTACCAAACAGGCTGAGAAGGACTGGGAACAGTTCTTGTTAATGAGAGCAAAAGAACTTGCCAAAGGTGAGAAGAAGTGGTTACAATAGCTTTGAAGAAATTCATGTTCATTGAGCTGAAGTCAGTCACAGTAATAAGTCCAGAGACTAAGTCTCATAAGTTGATTTCACTTTGCACTTGCTGCTAAATAAATTTACATTCATTGCTTTGCCTTTTTACTGCGTAGTGAGCTTAGGGTGTAAGCAGCAACATAATCAAGATTTAAGAAGAATAGAGGGGTGCCAATTCTCAAATTCATCCCTTTTTGCTGGAATGCATTGCATTTAACCAGAGTGCGCTGCACTACGTTTATTGTGTTTCGTAGTGTACTGTGTTACATGAAGCATTACTATACTGAAAAGGCATTTCCAATATGTATTCAAATGTGCTGTAAATCTACTTTCTTAAGTAAACGAAAATTAACCAATCATAGGTATTGTATGGTAAATCTACTATCTTGATTGCTGAATGAAGGACAGATGAATTAGAGGAATGAAAGGAGTCACTTGATCAATGAATAACTCTACCTTGCTTAAGTTGTCACGCTGATAAGTTAGAAAGCAAAAGGCCGTCGACGGTTGGTGTTGATAAGCCTATGCGACTCCTATCATTCACTAGCGCTTTTAAATCTTCTCTCTTCAAAGTTAAGCTCTCATTAGGATATTTCTTAATGACATTCCTTTCCTTTGTGATATAATTATAAGGGTTAGTTTTAAGATGTCATTTCCCCATCTGTATATTCTTGAGGTTTGGCGAAGCCGGATAAGATTGTGTTACTGGAAAGGTGATATTTTCCTTCGGTGCGTGAGCTGTTTTCTTTTTATTTCTGAGTATACTTTCTTTCCTACAGAAAATAAAGTTCTTAATGTAAGTCTTGGAATGCACAGGTAGATGAATCACTGCATAAATTATGTCATTATGAACAGAATGTGTGGCAGCATTACTATATTTTAGATACCCTAGTTACTTAAACTGTTCCAGTAAGTCTATGGAACAGTTAAGGTAATACCCTCCAACTCTGTAATTCTTCTCTTAATTTTAAGCGTAAACTTAGAGCCAAATTACTTGCTGCTTTCCTTTCTCATCGCTCTTACTTGTAAATTTGGCGAACATTTATCAACATTTTAGCTTCCTTAATTTTTCTATTATACTTTTTAGTAATGTAATTTTGAGATCATTGTCACCGAAAAACCCTCTTTAGGGAGTGTCAATAAAGTTTGTATTGTATCGTATTAAATACTTAAACAAAAAAAAATTATGCAAAGGCTATTTTTGTTTTTGTTTCATGTCTCATTTAGTGTAGAAATGTTTGATATAAGATACTCACGAAAGTGCCTTTCTGAGAGGCAGTGCTAGCAGATGGTCATCCTTTGAGATTGAAATTTTCTCCACAGATTGTTGATTAAGTATGGTGCTTCCCCTCTTGCGCTTTGCACACTGATGATACCCTAGAAATTCCTCTACTGGTATTCATTAGAATTATGATGTTTTATCTTTGTTTAAGGTGGTAGGCTGGCACTGATTATAGGCTGTGAAAATGAAGGAGAAACTGTAGGTAGTACCACAGGTCTTGTAATCTACAGGTTATTGTACAACATGTGGGAGAGCATGGAAAAAGACAAGATCATTTCAAAGGTTAAGTGAACTTTTCATGAAGTTTATCTTAAATCAGTGTGAGCCAGGCCCTGAAATAATTTCTTCTCCAAGTACCTCATGTAAATTGTTACAGTTAACAAGCCTAATTAAATACTTTGGTTTTATCAACAGAGTTGATACCGTAAACTGGCCACCATAGAGAGTTCCTGAAGCTGAGGATTCAAGTGTTAGCCCTTCTTCAGAGCCAAATGTTGGCCAATTCACCTTATCAACTCAGTTGAAAAAAAAAATTACCATGTTACACCCCCTACCGATACGGAACCTGTTCTGTCACGCGTAACTCGTTGCATTACACGTTTTCACGTATTGTTTTGTTAAGCATTGTGGGATAGCAGGAGGCATGCTGTCAAAATGGAAAACTGTAATTTTTAGGTGCTCCGGTGAAGACGCTCTCTCGTTTCACCTTAAACGTTAAATAAACCCGGTTACACTGCCGAAGAAGAGTTCTGACCTCGTCTATTTTTCGGGTAATGGATCAGAGCTTGACGGATTGGAACAACACCACAGTTTACTCTCCTTAACCTTCATAAAAGTTTGGTTAACATTTATACAATTATATGAAATTGCCCATATCCTATCATGATTGCTAAGTATGCACCACTGATTTAAACTATTATACGGGTTCTTCTGTTGTGAGCAATGACTTTGAACCTGCATCATAAGATGTTCGTTAACCATTTAACTCCAGGAGTGATCAAGACAGAATTTCTCCTCACAATATCAATACAAAATCAAGCAGACAAGTGATGAGAAAGAACAAAACTATCAATAAGGGGGGAATGTTAGTTTATCCAATTCCAAGTTCTCCAAGCTAACTGCATAAGAATTAACAACAAACAGTAAGGAGAATTGCTAATGAGATCTTGAGAGCATAAGGGTCAGGGGTATTCTGGTCATGAGTTCATATGTATTCTAAGGTGCCATTTCTCTTAACACCACAGAAAGATATGGAAGAAATGACCATCCCTGAATATTTCCGAACTCGTGAAGAACTGGTGGAGCCGTTCATATCAGATGCATCGCCGGTCAGAAAAGCTGGTCTTAGTCTTGTTTCTTTGGAATTGAAAGAGTTTCCTTTACCAGAGAGAGCCATGTGGCAAGTTACTGGAAACGCCAAAACATGTGCAAGACTGATGACTGAACAAACCAGAGCTTGGAGCAATTCCTTTTTTTGGTCTGGTAAGTAGACTTCTGAACATTGAACAACTGTTCCTGAAGTGGATGTGGCTTGGACCCAGATCCTACCGTGTAAATGAAATGTGGGACCATTATACAACCGCTTGGCCCTGGGAGGTCTGGTTGTGAGACTAGCCCCTAACATTGAGGTGAAACGTTGTTCTTGTAAACCCCTAATTGCAAAGAGGTTGACACCTAAAAGCATGAACCGTGAACAGACCCAACAGCTTAATGGGAAATGCTGTACATAATAATTAGTGATTCACTTTTCTCACAATTCATGAAAAACCTTTGTTTAGTTAATACTTCTCTTCCAGGAAAACGTGGACAGCTTCCATGATTCACCACGTGCTGATGGTTGAAAACTGGGATATGGTGGGAAGGCTGTGTGTGGGTCCTGGGAATGATTGCTTATGTAAATAAGTACTCTTGAATGTCAATGAATGACACTGCATTTTTTCTGTCTTACAGCACTCGGCGACCATCATTCTGCAGAGGAGAAAAGCATGATTCTGGACGAATTTTTCCATCGTCTTGAGGAACAAGTTTTGCTTTCTCCTGAGGAGTATATGGGTGTGATGAGGAATGCATTTATAATAATTGAAAAGTCATGACATTGAGTAAGCCATTTACATGTAAAAAACCCAATGCACTGTACATATGACAAGGATTAGGGGAGATAGGGTATTTTTAAAAGAGGATTGTAATCATTTGTCTCACGACATGGTCACTTGGGATGTGAATTGCAACGTTTTGACTGCATACTGCTAGTCTTCTTTAGGCGATGAGGTCGACTGAGTACACATCACCTTTATGCTGTTGTTGCTCAGCTGTGGTTAGATAGAATTCCACAGCTGCGGAGTTCATTGGCCTCTCCAAACAACTTTGCTGCTGTCTACAACAACAACGCATACGCGCTGTTTTGAAGTCACTGCTATCCTATGATCACACCTACGCGTAGTACACCCAAAGGATGCCATCCACCCGGCTTAACAGGATAGCGTAGTCTACAGGATTCCCTGTGAGTATGGAAAGGTTTACATTGGCAAACCTGGTAGACCTGTGCAGGAAAGATTTAAGGAACGCGATAGAGATATTCAACTTGCTAAGACACAGACCTCCACCGCCTTGGAGTATGCCCACAACACCGACAGGAAAGCTATGCGGCACAGCTGAGCACAACAGCATAGACCTGAGTCAACTTCAATGTTGAAGAAGATTTGCAGTATGCAGTCAAAATGTTGCAATCCATATCCTAAGTGACCACATCATGAGACAACCGATTACATTTCTCTTTTAAGTGTTATTCAACACAATGCATAACCACAACCTATTTTAAAACATCTCCCTATATTATCCATGCATTATCCAGCAAACAGGAAATGAGAATACTAAGACTTATCTGGTTAAAATTGCCATTTTGATCAAACACCAAATTTTCATAATTTATTTAGAAAGAAATGTGTAGCAGCTAGAGAGGAGAATTAACAAGCAGATCTTGAAAGAATTTTAAAAGGAAATTTTACTACCATTGGCAGTATTTCTTCAATTCTTTGCAAGTTTTTAATCCCCTTTCCTGGTTATCAGATAATTTACTCCACATTCCAGGTTGGAGACTTGCATGTAACCCACTGGCTGGAAGTTGGTCTTTGAAATTGTTTGAGTTCTTATTCATTGCACTTTTTTGTTGTGCTGCTTTGAAATAGGCTACGAAGCACTTGCTAAATTCTGTACTTCAAATTTACAGGTAAACCCACAGCATGTATTTGAAATTATTAAAAACTGGATCATTGGATAATGCAATTCACGACTTTTTATTGGCTTAGCCGTTATGGTATATCAGCCAATACACCATAATCTAATATCTGTACATCGTAACATCCGGTTTCTTCTTAGAAAATAAAAGTCGAGTAGATTTGTCTAATATCTTAGGGGCGTTTTTTAATAAAACAATTATTCCACTCCCGCCTGTTGGATATAAGATGATTATGGCCAACTCGGCGCTATGCACCTCGTTGGCTATCCATCATCTTATATCCAACGTGTGCTCATGGAATAATTGTTAATTATTCTATGATACAGTTGTAGAATTTGTATAGTGTCAGATGATAGCTCTGCACCTTACCAAGACTTATTAACCTATGAAGACTTATTAACCTACGAAAATAGCCATACTGTAAGCTTCTATGTAAGCCATACCCAGTTAGTTGGCTTGTTGTCAATAAAATTAACTTTGAAAGACTTACTCTTGATTTGATTCCAATTAAACTTAACATGAAACTTTTAATGGTGAAAATGTTTCTCTGTATGCAGGTGAAGCTATTGTAAAATGATCTTATAATTCAGTATGAAACCAAAAAAAAAACAACCTTTCAGGTTGCACCTGAATGAGTTCTGCACATTAGGTGTTAAAGAAAAGGTGCTGGGCTACATGTATCCACTGGATAGCGATTTATTCCACCCTTCAAACAACTGGGGCCATAACAGAAGAATGTTTTGATTCTGAATGATGCAAAAGTATCACTTTGGCCGTCTGTGGGTAAGATTTTCCCTCATATCCTTCTCTGCTACTTGTATGTCCAATAGTTGGTATGCTTGTTCCTTGTCAAGCAATTATTGAAAAGAGCAGTGGAAACTGGAGGAAGCTAAGATGACTGAAGTAACTACTTCTTGTTGTTGATCTTCTGATGAATCATCTCCCTGAAGTCTGACAAGATTTTGTTTTCTCTCTTGGATCTTTCTTCATAGTTAAACATAGCCAGTGCTCGCCTGTTAAACAAGAAGTAAAATAAGTTACAAGGCAGTGAATGACTAGAATCAATAAAAATACCAGCTGATGTTATAGACATAAAACATACAGGATGCAGTTACTCACTTTTCATCTGCACTGTAAATCTGATTTTCTTTTCTCAAACGCACAGCTTCCATGCGACGATGTCTGGAGAAGGAGACAATGAAAGTCATTCAACTGTGTCCAATTAACCACAATGACATAACTAAATCCCAATGAGATTGGCAACAGAGTTGCAAGCTTCAATGTTTTTTTTTTTTTTTTACTTTCATAATGGAAATATGAACTGTTCACTCTGAGCATTGTCCTCTAGATAGATTGGTTCCACCGGCCCAAGTAAGTATACCATAAGCTTCCTCTTTATAGACTGTGTTCACTTGGTGAAACTACATCCAGTGTGAGGAAAGTAAATGGGAAAGATGTTGCAAAAACCTCTGTTGAATGGCTAATTTGTATGAGCTGTTTTCAAGAGCTGTTTGTTATGTATACTTTTTGTGTTTCTTGTTTGACATTTTTTCAGTACTCTACAACCCCAAGCAAGTAGTTTGACTGCTGAACTCAGACATAGGAAGAACTTGGTTTACCACAACATTCACTCTCAATTGTTGAAACTTAAGTCTGTAGCATTAAAGGAACTTATCAAGTAACAGAAGAAGCTGCATGGCTAGCAAATTGGCTCATTTAAAAGATAATTTGAAAAAAACTCTTTCAAACAAATAAGCAGCAATGTAGTGAACACAATCAACTTTGATGTACAGAAAGAAAACACAGTCGAATAGTCAGCAGTGACAGGATCTGCAAAAACCCATGTACAATGCTACTCTTCTAGAGTCTCGCTGGATAAAGGGGAGTGTGTTACTTTTAGCACCTTGACAGTACTTTGGTACAAATTGTAATGAGATTTTCAAGATCACTTTGGCACGGAAGGCTTTGAAATACCCTTAATGAATGATTAAGATGTGGTACTCTACCTGCTTCCACTCATCACATAACCAGATGATTCAAATGTAGCAATCTCATCACTTGTGAGCCCAATCTCACCACGGCGAGGGATTCGCTTGCCTTCCTTCACATACTGTGCCATTGCTTCACCTTCACCAGGCAGCAGAGCTCCTCCAAAGCTGTTGAAAATGGACAGGATTAATAAACACCAGATTTGTGACAATGACTCAGTTTTGGTCTGTGAGTAATTGCCAAATGAGTGTGTTTCGATGTATTTAACATGTTCTATACATTTGACAAAAGACCATTGTAGGTTTTGGGAGCCTAAGGTCAAAAATCAGACTGTTTGATCTTGGACACTGGAATCAAATTTTGGACATTGGTTTCTGATTTTGGACACTGGTGTCTAAATACTAGTACTTGGTTTTGGACCATAGTGTTGGAT